TTTTCTTAAGTTTTTAACGTGACTTAATAGGACACGTTATTTACTTTGATGTCACACGTAAATAATAAAGACAAATTTTATAAATCGCAAGAGTATTTAAAAAAGTTGCTCCAAAAAGTAACATAAAGAAACAATGAGTAACAAATTAAAAGAGTTCTTCTTACGGTGCCTTATCCTTAAGGACGTTGGCCATTACATTTGCTCATTTAATCTTATTTGTAGCAGCCCTGAATAGTTCTATGGAGGTCATGTTCGTCCATTGCCGTAGGTTTTAAAGCCAAGAGTTGCGTCTTCTTCCTGGTCCTCTTTTGCTATTGACTTTGCCTTTAATTATAAGTTGGAGCAGTTCATACTTTTGATTTCTTATGATGTGACCAAAATATTGTGTTTTCCGTTCTTGTATTATAAGCATAAGCTCTCTTTCCTTATTCATCCTCCGCAAGACTTCCGCATTTGTCGTATGGCTCATGTAGGATATTCTGAGCATTTTACGGTAACGCCAGAGTTCGAATGCTTGGATTCTTTTTGTGTTGCTTCTGTCATTGTCCAGGCTTCACCATAGAGCAAGGTGGAGAAAACATAGCACTTAAGTATTCTAGTTCTCAATGAGATGCCCAGCTGGCGGTTGCATAGAACTTTTTGCATTTTTAAAACATTGTACGTGCCTTTTCCATGCGTATTCTTATCTCTAGTGAATGGTCCCAAGTTTCATCAAGATTACTTCCAAGGTACGTTGTTCTTGTTACTCTTTCCAGATCTGTTCCGTCGACATTGACCTTCACCCTTCTGTTTTGGTGCTTGCTGATGACCATCGTTTTTGTCTTCTTTGTATTCAATTTCATTCCAAATTCTCTACAGGCTGTCGTTACTCGGTCCATTAAGCGTTGCAGGGCTTTCAGCATTATCTGCCAGTATGACAGTGTCATCAGCATATCGCAGGTTATTTATACAAAATAAAAAGAGTATAAAAAGAGTACAGAAAAGTAACTAGAAAACGACACAGTGGAAGTTCCAACTAACGAACAAATAAAATATAAAGAATAACAAAAGGGCGTCTGATAATGATATTCCTGGTGATATAATAAAATGTAGGGCGAATATATTAAAAATACAGAAATGTAGCCTACTAAAAAAAGTGTTGGTGAGTTGAATAAGAAAAAATCTCTCTCTCTCTCTCTCTCTCTCTCTCTCTCTCTCTCTTTATTCCCATCCCTACTTGTTGGGTATTGGTTTCTTGGCCAAAAGTGTAAGATTGCTGACTGGCCGGGTCAGCCCATCTTCTTTCTTATGTATTCTCTGAATAAACTGTGTGGTAGTTCCTTCCATTTTCTTCTTTTTGTTACTCTGTTTTTAGTTTCACCCCATCTTAGTCCAATTTTTTCGTGTTCTCTCGTTGTAGTTCTTTTCCAGCTATTGTCTTTGTGCTTTCTTCTTCCCTCTGATTGGTATTTATGTGGATATGTTAGTTTCATTTTTCTTTCCCATTCTTTAGCATTAGTTAATCTGTTGGGTCAGTATATTTTTATGATTTTTCTTAAAGATTCGTTTACAAAAGTTTGCAGTTTTTTAATTGTGGTTTCGTTCTGTTTTCATGTTTCTGCTCCGTAAAGTAGTATACTTTTGTTGCAACTATTAAAGATTTTAATTTTTGTCATTTCTGATATTTCGTTTGTTTTCCAGATTTTATTTAAACGTTGAATGCATGTTGAGTCTTTATTATTCTCGTCGGTTAATTCTTTTTTATGTCATTCATGGGGAGAACGTCTATTTTAGCTACCCCTAAAGTCAGGTAGCTTAACCACATAAAGTAAAACAGAGGATATCCCATTATTCAGGATATTAAAAGTAACTTTCAGTACAAAGCCTCCTCATTCGTTATGTCCTACGATAGACATGAGACGAGGTTGTCCTATTAAGATAAAGCAACTGAGCTTAAAACTTAACAACTTGTACTGAATGTTAGGTCGTAAATCACAATTAACAGTCACCAACTAATTGTTAATTTATTAAGCCATCCTAAAATCGATATGGAGCTACGAAATTCACTTGTGGTGGACAGAATCCTACTCAAATATCGAAATCCTTCAAAGATTTCAGTCCATAGTACTTAGGATTATTGTAAACGCCCCATGGTAGGTAACTAACAGTTTTATTGCTCGTGATTTTAAAATGAAATCTATCCGAAATGTTCCGTCCAGCTAAGGTTAAGAAGACATCTTCCATGTAATCTACCTGTCAGATTTTTTAAATCTTAATACTGTTCTATAATGTAGTGTTGTGTAGTAGTTAAGTTTCCCGAACCATCACTTTGAGATATTACTATTGCGTCGTCTGAATAACAGATTATTTTAAATTATTTTTCTCGCATTTAATATCTTTTTTCTTTATTACTTTTTTTATTTTTCATCCATGATCAGGTTAAACAAGAATGCCAAGGGAATCCCTCTGTCTTGTACCATTATCTGCTTGAATTGGGTTAGTTAATTCTTCTTCTACATTTGTTTTTTGGACCTATTACACAGGGAATGCTTCGAAAGACATTTTAGTTACTAATTTGGTTTGAGGAATGTTGAACAAACGGATTTTACTTAATCGTCTTTATATCACCTTTTTAATACACCGTGCCCGTTGAGGACTTGAAGAGAAGCCAAGTACATTTTGCGCTGTGGCTATATGCGCACAAGCTTCAGACACAGGGCCGTCTCAATGTTTAAAACTTACAATACTTAACACTTTTGTTGTGTTGTTCTGGTAAATATTCTCGATCGCTTTGTTCCGGTAATTTGAGCCTGCGAAATGCCTTCTTAGATGAACTTCCAGTTTATTTATTATTACTTTGGTTGTTATTGTTAGGATTGTTTTTAATAGGCTGATTCCTCTGTAGTTCTCCAAATTCGATTTGTCTCCCTTTTTTAAAGAGAGGCATTACCATGCTTGAGGTCCTTTCTTGTAGTATTCTGCTTTGCTGTTTAATTTTTTGGATCAGGTTTAATATTGGTCCGATCTCCTCCGTATTTCAGAAGTTCGTTCGGTATTTTGTCCTCTCCTGGTGATTTTCTATTTTATAATTACCTTAATGCTTTCTTTACCTCTCCCTCTGTTTTGTCTACCGTCCAACACCACCCACGAGCTTCAACCACTCGATAAAGCAGTTTTCAGAAGTTTTGAGTCGTACTGGGATGAAGAGGTGTTAAATTTTTGGGTGAACCATAAAAATGAAAGAACCATCAACCAAGCAAGATTTGGGCAAATCTTTACGCCGGCTTGGAGAAAGTCAGTGACACAAAAAAATATTTGTTCTGGATTTGAAGCAACTGGGATATGGCCATTCAATCTAAATGCTATTCCGGATGCTGCCTTTGCACCTAGCTGTCTAACACATCGAGAGATTGAACCAATGGCCGAAGATGCTCAAGAAAGTCCTATAACCGGACCAGAAATTGTACAGACTGCCCAAACCAATACACATTTCGAAGAACAGCCATCCTGCAGCAATGGCAGTGGTGTAAACCAAAAATGTAAAAGCAAAGCATTGTCGAATAGTGAAAAAAGAAAAATTAAAAAAAAAGGACTGTATAAAGTTTTTCAAACTCAGATGAACATCTCAGATGAAGACAGCGACTCATCTGGGTCTTATACAAGCGATACAGCTTCCAGCGAGGATTATGAGAAGAGTGATGTAGTTTACACAGATAATCATGACAATAATATGGTGCAAAACTAAGTGAAACAGGGCCATGTGAAGAGCTGAATGCAAGTTTTAGTTTCAGTGGTTTGCTGACTACACCGGAGTTTAAAGTATCAACAAAAAAGCGTCGACAAGTCATTAATGCGAAAGCACAAGAAGTTACCAGGGATCTATTTAAAGGACAATCTCATAGCTCAGCCAAACCTAAACCTAATTTAAAAAAAGATGCAAAACCAAATTTAAAAAAAGACTCATGGTACTGCTTCTTGTGTGATGAGGATAGAGTGGCTGACATGCGCAAGTGTGTTCGGTGTAATAAGTACATCCACGAGGAATGTATAGGGTTAACAAAAAAGGATAAGGACATGTTTGTATGTCCTAGATGTGAATAAATGTGCGATATGTGTGCTTAATATATTGACAATTTTTTTTTAATATGAATAAAAGTTTCTTTCACTAAATTTTGTATTTGTTCTTTAATTCTTAGGTTTAAAATTTATTATCCACCTCAATTTGTGTAAAACATGAAACTGGCCTTATTAAGCTACCAATTCCTAATAAGGCCAAATATTCCAGATTTATTCAATGTTAAAATTTTATATTTCTTTATTTATTTAGTAACTATTTTATCCTGAAATTTGATAGCTAAAATGTTAGGCAATACGTATACAAGAGTTTTCCCCCATATTGTTCCTGAATAAAATATTACAGATATATAAACCTTAAGGTGGCCTTAATTGGCGACTGTACCTTACAACAAATATTACATTGAACCGGTCGTCTATCTATTGCTACGTGGTTTTCTAAAGCTGGTGCAGATATGTAGTATTTTATTTATTTGTTGCATTAATGTTTTCACTTTAGCAAATGCTGATTAGTGCAAAATCTCGTTTTGACACCAACTTATCCTTTTAATTAATACCAAAAAAATTATACCGTTAGATTGGTGATTAACATTTGAGTAAGTAACAATGTACACGTCTTACAAACGAAACCACACGAAGCGTTATTGGGTGAAATTTTTTCAAGTCTGATTTATCAAATTTTTTGTGTAGAATTATAATTATGAATTTATTTTAGTTGTTGGGTATTTGGTTACTGGGGCATTGACAATGATCTTTTCTCCATATTTAAGCTTTTATGTATTAACGATATCTTGTTAGGGAACTTATTTTTCATTTTGTTACACATTAGGTACAAACCAATGAAGTATAAATCGTATGTTTATATTAATTTAACTATCTAAATTTCATCACAACTTTTCGACCTATATTATAAATATTTACAAAAAAAGTACAACACCTACCTTCAGAAACAGAGATGAAAAGCAAACAGACGATTCCAGTAGAAACCACCAAACGACTATCGAAACAATTCGTAGAAGAATCAAAGAAACGAGGCAGAAGAAAGAGACGAAAAACTGGTATCAGGTATGAAGAAATATACTGCGACAAAGATAGGGCCGCGGCTGTAAATATGGGATCAAAGGATATAAAACAGTCGTTAAAATTGAAGAGGAAGCAGGACAGGTCTAAAGCATTGCAAATACCGGAAGAAGCTGAACCTAGTACGTTTTTGGCATTGGGAAACTATGAAATGTGTAGAGGAGATATCAAGATTGCTGTTAATTTTATTTCTAAGGTTTGTAGATTTTTCATAGAAATTAAATATATAGGTATATAGTTAGTATAATCTATGTTTTATTATTAATAATATATATATATATATATATATATATATATATATATATATATATACAGTGCTTTTCAGATGAAACTATCCACCTTAAATAACTTTTGAACCTCTAATTTTTTGGAAAAACGCAAAAACACGTCAATTAATATCTGAAGGGGGAGACATAATATCATATTAAAGGTTACTGGAAAATGCCCCCTTTCACCCCCTGTATCAACCCTTTATTTTTTTTAATTACTTCCCACTTTTTTTGTTTTATATTTGGATTTTCCTTTTTGTTCTGATTTCAAAAATGTATAATACCTTTGGCTTGAAGTGATTAGTTTATCAGATATACAATTTTCCTGTTAACAAGACAGTATCTCCCTCACCTTAATTGACTCTAACAAAATAGGTTGTAGCATAATTTAAACTCTTTAAATATTTAACCGTACTATTTGTAGTACCTTAAAAAACCAAGAAACAAAAAAATTCACTTTTTATTCAAGTTTTATCAAAGGTTTTCGATATCACTTTTACATTTGTTTTAATCGGTTAATAGCGACAATTTATTATAACTGGTAAACAGCTTATTTTGATACGTGTGCAATTTGATCGCTGAAATAGTGTACACTTTGCAAGAAAGAATCGAAATTGTAGGTTTATACTACAAAAATAATAATTGTGCAAGAGCTGCTGCTAGAATTTTTAATGAAACACACCACAATAGACGTGCAACTCATAAGTGTGTGATTGAACTGATGCAGAAAAAATTAGATCAAGAGGGTCAGTTTGCAATAAAAAACATAACCGACAGAAACTTGTAAATAAACAAGCAATCCAAGTAGCTGTTTTAGGGCAAGTTAACTAAGACTCGTAACAATCACAGTCACTGTCAACAATAAGCAGAGCAATCGGTGTTTCATCTTCTACAGCCTTAAAGTCCTTAAATTTACCCACAATATCAACGTTTAAAGCTACCCCCTGTCTGAAGGAGCCTCCTTCTACCCTCTTCTTCTTCTTAGAGTGCCCTACGGAGGTTGGCAATCGTAATGGCTATTTTTATTTTAGAACTTGTTGCTCTAAACAAATCAAACGATCTGCATTGATACCAATCACGTAGATTACTGAACCATGAGTTCTGCCTTCGGCCAACAGATCTTCTTCTTTGAATCTTTCCCTGTATTATGAGTCTCAAAATTTTATATTTTGATCCCTTCATCACGTAACCTAGGTATTCCAGTTTTCTGGTTTGTATAGTGGTGATTAGTTATGTTTCTTTACCAACCCTCTCCAGTACTTATTTATTTGTAATTCTATCAGTCCATGATATTTTCAATACTCTGCGGTATAACCAGAGTTCGAAAGCCTCGATTCTTTTTAAATTACATTTTTTTCATGTCCAAGTCTCAGCTCCACATAGCTTCTTCTTCTAGCTCCATGTAGCTAATAGGAAAAAGCTCCATGTAGCTTCTTCCCTACTCTGACTATTACTCCGATATTACTCATAAAATTTTAACTCTTTTTTCTCTTTTTCCTTTCCAAACTGGTCCAACTCTTTCCGAAAAGTGATCTCTTTTATTCCGAAACCTCTACACAGTTTTTAGTCATTATTATTGTCCATGCATCAAGCGTAATAGTTACGTTTACAATTATTATTACCATTATCAATATTATTATTTATCTTCTCCGTGTAATTCTCAGTATTATTAATCTGCTGGAGCGAGCGTATTCAGCATATTTTTCCGGACATAGCTCACCAGTTAAAAATCCATACTTTGACGAGCAAAATTGGCGGCATAAAATACAGATGTATTGGTTTTAAACGTTTACAATTTTCCGTACATTTGGCGTTTTCAATGACAATAAACAAATCACGAAGCCAACCGTTGGAAGTTTAAAAGAAAAGAAAGTATTACATTGATTTAACTTTTTTCATACATAAGGCGGTACAAAGTTTGTCGGCTCAGCTGGTCTTTCTATATATTTTTCTGGACTTGTATTATCTATAAATATAAACATTTTGGTACTCTAGACATAAATACTAATAAAAGTTAAAAGAACCAACTCTTTTTTTATTTACTAATAATAGTCGCTTCAACCACCTGGGTCATTAGCGACATTAGTTTACATTAGTTACTACATTATGTTTAAATTATATAAAGAAGTTTCTTTTAGAAATCTAATTAAGTTTTTAGTATTTAAATGTTCACCTAATACTGTTTTTTAAGTCACTGGAAATATTGTTATTTTGTCTGTTAACTATATATTTTCCACATTCTGTTAGGAGATGTTTAACAGTAATATTGACTTGACAGTAATCACACACTGGAATGTCTTCTTTACTTATTAGGTGCTTATGAGTAATATTGGTATGACCTAATCGAAGTCGAGAAATTTTGACTTGGTCAGCTCTTTTTAAGTTTACTAGGCGCCACGGTTTCACTGTCGATTTAATTTCTTTTAATTCCGATTCCGATAAGTTCCACTTATTTTGCCAAGCACTAATCACTTTTTCTTTAACGAACTGTTTTATATCACTGCAAATAGTCTTTGACACTATTATAGCTTGATCATTTTTGGTAGCTTCTCTTGCTTGACTTCTGAACCAGATTCTTGTAAGGCAGCAAGTTCTTTCCTGACAAGTAAGGCTATAGGGTTCCTAGTATATAGTTGACCGATTGTTGTTAAGGAGTTTAGACAATCTGTGATAATGACGGAAGAAGAATGGTTTGTACTTTTGATATGAATGAGGGCTTGTAATATTGCATATAATTCTGTTGTGTATGTAAAAGTGGCTGGCATTAATTTAAATTGGAAGAGGAATATGGAGTGACAAATGCTGCTCCTACGTCATTTGCAGATTTGGAGGCATCTGTATAAATGCAAAAGCTTTTCCCGTAAGTCTCGAGTTCCTTTAAACATGACTGTCGGATTACAGTGGGTGATGTATCTGATTTGTTATATTGGAGTAGCGTCGTATTAATTTCGGGAATCATGATTAACCAGGGAGGTGGAGTTTTTACATTTGAAGGAAAGAGGTCAGAAATTTGGAGTTGTAGATCTTTTAAATTTCTTCGAACTCTTTCGTAGAATGGTGGATCGAACCTACTTTTGTTATAAGCTTCTAGGTAACGGTCCGTAAATGCATTTTGACATACTGGGTGGAATTCGTTGCTGGCGACTGATGCTGCATACGAAAGGCATAAATAATTTCTTCGTAGATTAAGAGATCTACGAGATTTACACCAGTTAAGAATCTCCAATGCCTCTCCTGTGAGGCATTGGAGATTCTTAACTGGTGTAAAGAACCAACTCTCTATGTTAAGAACTGATTTAGCAGCATACTTATGTAATTAAAAGTTACGCATTAAAGCAAATAAACCTACAGCTATTAAAAACAAAACTCTTGCGAATTTAATTACGAAATGTTATTGCTATATTAATTTACATTTTGATTATGAAACACATATTGACTACAATTTTTAAATAGATATACCTATTAAAGAGGTTCTAAAATCGTCATAGCTTGAATAAAGTTTCGATGTAAAGAAAAACCTACGTAAACGGAGAATAAAGACGTTTTCTAGCAGATTTCGTGTCAATTTAATATAGCGATAAGTGTAACGAAGCAACGATTTATATTCTTTATTCGGGAGTTGTATGCTCAATCATTCTTATCAATAACTGCCATCTTTGCATTTTGTCCAATTACTTTTTTCGTCTCTCTGGGAACCGACAATCTGCTAATTCGTATCAGTTGGTGAAATATTGGAGATGTTTAATCCCTTAAATATTTTTTAAATACAGGTCATTGAAAATGTTATTGAGAGGTATAAATATATATGGCGTGTTTCTAAAAATACGCAAGAATATTTTTAATAAAAGCATAAATATAAGTTAGAAAAATTTCGTGTTTTCATGAAATATATAATTTTTGATGTTTCGAAAAATATCAATAACCGATAAATATTATGTTTTATGTCCTTGCATTTGAAAGGTGGTATTGTATCCATAAAAATGTTCATCAAATTCTTATTCGTTTATAAATACTGTTGGGTAGTTTGTTGTGTTTAATGTTATTACTAAAAGAATTTGCTACAAAGTTTGCTTTCTTTTATAAGCTAAGAGGCTTCCACAATTATCTTAATTTTACTATCCGCAGTTTAAATATGATTTCTCCTAAAAACTAATGATGAATATTTCCACTGCCATCTACACGTATACGTGTGCATATAAATCTTTGCATATCTTTGCATGTCCTTCGCATATAAAAGCCCAGGTCCAGACGGAATATACCCAGAAACGTTAAAATTAATCAGCGAAGAAAATATCGAAATATTTGTTTTTTTATTCAATCGCATTTATGATACAGGTAAATACAATATTCATCCCACTACTAAAAAAGTTAAACCCACAACACTGCAATGAGTTCCGTCTGATAAGCCTTATGAGTCATGCAGTAAAAGTCCTACTAAAAATCGTACATAATCGTATCTATAGAAAGTGCGAAACAATCATCGGAGACGATCAGTTCAGACCTGTTCAGTTTACTAGTTCTCGCCCAAACATGCTACGACCAACAGAAAGATATATTTATATGCTTTATAGACTTCGAAAAAGCATTTGATAGAGTAAGACACGACCCACTATTAGAACGTTTGCAAGAAGTCGGTTTAGATGGAAAAGACATCAAATTCTCAAAAAACTTGTACTGGAATCAAAACGCCAGAGTTAGGATCGAAGGTTCCACATCCGCAGAAGTAGAAATTAGGAGGGGAGTTAGACAAGGATGTGTTCTGTCGCCTCTGCTGTTTACTCTTTACTCCGAGTTTCTATTTAAAGAAGCATTGGAGGATTCCAAGGGTGGAGTCAATGTGAATGGCGTAAATATCAACAGTATCAGAGACGCCGATGATACAGTGTTAATTGCGGATTCCGACTTAGGTCTACAACGACTCATCGAC